GCGTGTATGCCCCAGAAGAAGGAAGGAAAGAAGACACACGGACATTTTATGACGATCTACAAAAACAAATAGGCAAAATAAACAAAAATAATCATGTCCTCGTCTGTGGCGACCTAAACGCCAGGGTTGGTAACATTCCAGGAAGAGCAAAGTAGGAATGACATCTAGCATCAATCATGCGTCATGATAGGCACCTAAATAATGTTTAATCCTTCCAAAGAAAAAATGAAAAACAATAAAAACAAAATAATAAAAATAATTACAATTATACAAGGTAATAATATAAAATGAACAAATATGTAGAAAAAATAAAATTAAAAAATAACGTTACGTGATAAAAATAATAATCTTGATACTTCTTAAAAAAAAAAAAAAAAAAACTCATGATAATAAATGGGATTATAAGAAATATTATACAGCTCTTATATCTATGAACCTATTCGGACTCTTATTGCTATACATTGTCTACATAGGCCTGGTCCAAGGAAAAGAGAAATCCTCCATCTACTGTCCTCTCCTGTTTCTGTGTTTTTTTTCATAATAGTATATGCTTAGATTTTTAGCAGCTTTTTATTATTTTCCGTAGTATCTTTACACTTGCATTTAGGGGCTCGGATTACAGACGTAAAGGACAAACGAGAATAATAAAAAAAGCGAGAAAAACTCGCAAAGACGGAAAACTACTTAGTTTTTCTTATCAGCTACGGGAATATTTTATCCTAAAGCCTAGTGTTTGACGCGCGTTGCGGGAGTACTGGGTGGATTATGTAGCTCTTTCTTGGTACGGTTTTCTTAGTCTTCTCGATTGGTTGGAATAGTGTGTTTGTTAGTCGCTTTTTGTGAATTATCTCGGTTTTACATATCTGTCTGCTTATTAGATATCTTAGCTCTTTTCATGAGCCCTGTTCTGAGACTGCGAATTATCTTTCTACATTCGCTTGGCTTCTATCTCCTCTCATTCGTCTCGGCTGGCTTAACCAGTTTTAAGCGATGCAACCGAATCTAATTTGGTTTAACGAAATATAAAATAAATTAGAATTTAAAAAAAAGCAAGAAAAATTTTTCTTTTTCGTTGCATTTTTTTTATTGTAATGTTTAGTTTACTGACTTACTTGCACCTCGCAACGAAATAAATCCCTAGAAGACATGCTCGTCGAGCCAGATCAGCTCCTAGATAGTACGAGTGATTGATCAGCGTACTAGGAGCAGTATCTCACATTCCTTCTGTCAAGTGTTGCCAACTCTGTTGATGATGTGGATAAGAATTGCAGCAGTAATATAAAGGAATCTAGAAAGGCAGCATATGCTTGTAGGGGACAAGAGAAAGCATGAGAGGAAAAAGAAACGACTGAGGTATAACGATCTGTATAGCGGAAAGCCATAAAAGATAAATATATATCATGTAAAAAAATCTTCAAACACAAAACCAGAAGCAAAGAAGAATATAAACGAAAAAAAGGAATAACGAGCTACAAACAAATAATAATAATCTACAGCTAATGCAACTCATGGGATAGATTTGTTAAGCTACCATCGAACGATGATATACATGGAAGAAACAAATGTTTCGCGTTTACAAAGCGTTAAGCATTTAATCAGACGGAGAAAGATGTTGAGCAGATTACGCCACTAATCCAATGGAAAAGAACACCAATGACAGAACACTATATAAAACCTTTGTGTGTACTGCGAACTGTTGAAGTCCTAATAGAGAAAAGCTCGCTACAACTTAATAACTGTGAATTCCCATGGCTCTTGGGATGAATTAAGTCAAGCCGATTGATACAGTCTAAAGAGGCGTGAAGGCATGTGGTCCCTGATGGCAGTTAACATGGGAACTTCATAAAAATGCAGGGCCCTCCTAAGCGAATTTAGCGTGCTTCATCTGTTCAACGAATGCTGGAAATCTATTAAGACACCCATATACCGGGAAAATAAGATCGAGGGTATATTCTATCTTTAATTGTATACACTCCTGTATACACACTGCATCACTGAAGAAATGAGTATAACGCTGAATATCTAAAGGATGAGAGCTAAAATCTTCTATGGCACATTACTGTAAATTATCCCATACGCCCTAAAATTAGGTGTATTGACAACACAGGCTGATCGACCAGACTTCAAAATTTTTTAATACCCGTGAGTGTGACACAGTATATGACACAGATTAAGAACTCGTATGAAAAAATAAAAACTAATAAATTTTCAATCAATATGTGGAATAATAAAGCAGACACACTACGAGAACCAAAGCAAGAAAACAGCAAAATGAAACTTCGATGAGACAATGGCTTCTCCAGTTCATCCACTGGAAGAGCTGCAATCATGCGATATGAAACAAAAAGACCAACAGTAAGCGTCCATGCAGCAGATAATGCAGATTTCTTAGGAAAGTATGCCGCATTAAACAAAGATCCAATAAGAATATGGAGGATAGTCGTAAGACTAGATATATACCAACATAAATGAAAGATCTAGAAAAACGAGGAAAGATACATGGCGCCGCACATATCGAAAAATGGAGAAGATCGTTATTCCACCAATATAGTGATGAACTTACAACACCGAAGGAAGAAAGGAGATAATGGCCCTGACCCAGAAAGAGATAGGTCTGAAAGTGCAAAGTGAAGACGGAACAGGCATGTCACTGCCTAATCCCTTGAAATGGAGAGC